AAGGCTACCCAAGTGGTGGAACTGAATAATTATGAATCATGAAATTAATATTAGGATGTATAGAGAGATTGTGTAGATTGAAGACAAAATTATGTTAGCTTAATAACGAATTGACGAGTTTAGTACATCATAAAATATTAATATTCTAAACAAAATTAATAAAATTATCTTATTCGCCGATGAAAACGAGTGAACGAGAATGGAAATAGTGTTTGAGATAATAACATGATTGAAGTATCGATGTGAACCGTAATCAGTTAATATTAACAGCGAAACGACGACGTAAAGCGAAGAAAGTGTAGATTCTAAATGCGAAAGTAACTCGAAGAAAACGCGAACCGGAAGTGTGTTACAAGGTAACAATACTTTTTAATTAATTATGTGTGTTAACGGTTTTCAGGATCCAGAAAGAATAAATCTGCCATTATGGAAGTAGAAAGACTTAAACTGGCTGGAGTTTATAAAATTAAAGAACTTGCTATAAAGGATTATTTCACAGGATGGACAGCCACTTATCGTTTCTGAGGACTCCCTTGAACGAAGAAGACAATCGCCATCTCCACCACCTCTTTACATGACAGGAAGGCGAATATGATTTTTGCAATTTAATTAACGTATGTCGTGAAATAAAACATGACTGTAAGAATATTTTCACAAAAGGACAAGTGAAAACTAATATGATTCAACGCGTAACGGGACTACCGTGTATAAATGCGGAGATTTACGGATGTTCGGTATACAGACGTCTCGAAGCATCAAATAACACTAGAATCTTGTGTGAATACCACATCGAATCTAATGAACATTACAAAATTGAAGGTTCATACCGTATACAGATAGATAATCGACAGCCTTGTCTTTTCCACCTTTAGACACGAGCTTAAGGATACAACCAGACTTCAGGAAGACAAAAAAAAAAACGACGAAGGCCTGAAGGCAGAAGATATGATTGTATAAGTCTCCAATTTGATGTATTTTGAATTTTTGTAGAGTTTAATGATTTTATCAGTGCCCTGTAATTGTCAGTTATCAATTGATGTATCCAAAAATAAGAAAATTGTTATATGAATTTTGACTTGTTGTTGTTCTATCTTAATTTTCTTTTATTACAGTTCAGCATTGTATACACAAGAAAAATGTATGCATAATTTTCACTGATAATTTGAAATTTTGGATTTTGAATTTTATTGTATTCTCGTTGTATAGTTGGTGCTAATTATCAATCATGTATCCATATTATCAAGTAACAAGCAATAAAGGTTATTAACCTCATAAATGGATTATTGAAGGTTTGATTAACGAACAGTTACTCGTTCGGAACGAAGAATGTTGATTCTTTAACATAAAAGCTTTTCGAGATACTTTTTTTTGTTTGTTTGTTTATAATTAAACACAAAGCTATATAATAAGCTATCTGTGTTCTGCCAACCACGTGTATCGAAATCCAGTTTCTAGCGTTGTAAGACCGCAGACATACCGCTGTGCCACTGAAGGGCAAGATACTTTTGGTACAGAATTGAATGTAGATGAATATTGTATTAAAGTATCGTATGTATTTTGAACATAGTCAGTTCTGAGTAAATTCTATATTCTAACCATAAACTTCCTCGAGTTAGTGACTTGTGTACTCGGCCCGGCATGGCCAGGTGGTTAGGGTGCTCGACTCGCAATCTGCGGGTTCGAATCCCCGTCCCATCAAACATGCTCGCTCTTTCAGCCGTGGGGGCGTTATAATAATACGGTCAATCCCACTATTCGTTAGTAAAAGAGTAGCAGTGGGTGGTGATGACTAGCTGCCTTCCCTCTAGTCTTACACTGCTAAATTAGGGACGGCTAGCGCAGATAGCCCTCATGTAGCATGGCGTGAAATTCAAAAACAAGCAGACTTATGTACTCCACTCGCGACTGCATACCTGGATTTAAATAAATCTATTTGTAACTGATACTGAAGTTGAACCCAAACAACAAAACTACACGCCTCCCGTTACAATTGATTTTCTTTTAAACATATAAAATATACTATTTTCGCACTTCAGAGAGAGGGTGCTGCATACTTGAGAAGATCAAACCTCACTTTATTTTAGAGATGACTAAATTATTGTACTGACATTATCTTGCACATTGTTGTTTGAATTTTTTATCTACTTAAGGGTCTTCTTTCATGTATAATAGCATAAAGGATAAGTTCTAAATTTTTCTCATTTTCTAGGATTTTACACTTCTGCCATTGAATATTGTGCCCTGTTGTGTGTGAATGTCCAGCTATTGTGAATTTTTCAGGATGGTAAAAATCTCGTTACATCCTTGTGTTCCTTAAGTATTTCTTTTGTTGTTCTTCCAGTCTTTCCAATAAATATACTTCTTCACACTTGCAGAAGTGTTAGTTTTCAACAGGATATTTTTGTTTTTCAGTGTTTCCCAGTTTTGAAGCAAGGCCTAATGTTGAATTTCTTGCAGGTTATTCTTAACTTGTAGTTAATATTGGTTATAAATGGTAGGGTAATGTTAAATACATATTCTTTTTTTTTGTTTGTGTGTGTGTGGGGGGGGGGGGTAAATAATTTGTTGTTATGTATTTATTTTAATATTAACGTTGTTTAGATTAAGTTTATTTCAAAACCATGCATAGCTTATAGTGTTAGATATATATTGTGAAGCTCCCACCTAATCTACAAAGTTGTAGAAGATTCTCGAGAGTAAGAATCATAAGTATATGTGTGTACATAAACGCTTTAATCTATATTGCTACGTAAGACTGAATTTTCTAGAATACCTCCACACAGCTATAAATATAACCAACGCGACGGGCCGAAAAGTGTGTCTATTAGTAGTTCGTTATAATCAGTGTGCTATAAACTTCGGAGGCTATAACTGTGATTGTTATAACGCTTATCAATCGGAAAACTTCAGATATTTGACCAGGAGCATTTACAAAGTTCGAACATTACAACTCATTTAACTTCAGTAGATTCTCATCGGACATTGGTATTTTTATGAACACATTACGTAACTTCAACGGTGGTAAAATCGTCGTGTGATCAGTGAGAGACAAAGCTAGCTAGCGTCCCGTTAAGTGAAATATATCTCCGTCAACTCCTGATCAACTCGCTCATCGTGAACCCTCGGTAAGTCATGCAGGAAGTTCCAAACTAGAAAGAAAACTTTATATTGCTTGTGAGTTTGTGAAACTTTTGTTTATAAATCATTGTTTGTAATAACTATTTGTAATAATTGTTATTGTAAATTGTATTGTTGTGTATATATTAAAACGTATTTGTGTTAAAAAAGAAAACTGTGTGTATAAATCTTGTTGGGAAATATTACAAACTGATCATATATCGGCATTTATTTAAATACTAAATCCAAAGTACAATTTAACTAATAAATGTAGATTATCAGTTAACTCAGCTTCGGACTATTCGAAATTCTAATACGTAACAGGGGGAAGTAGGAGATTGGTTATGAACTGTATTTTATATGTATTAGTTTAAATAATCTTTCTTAATAGATTCTTTGTTTTGTTTTTATGTTTCCTCAGCTCTTTTAGCGAATCTTTTGATGATTCCATTCTTTAGTTAGGTAGTATGGTTGATTTAATCCATATGGAGAAACTTGAAAACACGAGTTTTTTTTTGTTTATCTCCATGATATGATATTAGATCATGTTTATGTTGCTCTGTCAAGATAGAGAAGTTTTCTGTATTCTATTTGTACTGTAAACTGGATGTTTCATCCTGTGTATTAAGATGCTGTAGGAATTCATCAATGATAGATTTTTATCCTGGCCAAATAACAAAGGTATCATCAACATCTCAAGGTTTAAGTTTTGTGGATTCTAAGGTCTTTGTTTTGAAGTCAAACATAATCAGTTTGTCGACTATTGGAGGTAAAGAGGATCCTATGGCTCACTGTTATGTTCAGAAAGGAATGTTTCAGCTGGAAGTTTGTGGTTGAGAGACGAGTTCCATAAGTGCGTCAACTGCGTTTGTTCTAGTTCTACAGTTACGGTGGAGAGATGAGTTCCATAAGTGTGTCAACTGGGCTTGTTCTAGTTCTACAGTTTGTGATGGACAGAAAGAGAGATGAGTTACGAAAATGAGTTAACTGGAAGGTTTGTTGTAACTCTACAATTTGTGAAAATCCTACGTTCCTTTATTCACAATAATCATAAGCTAGAGTAACTATATAAGCAATTTTTTTCCAAGTTTTTCATTACTAGCATCACACAGTTCTGGAACATGAGTGAAGTAGTGCCCTAATCACGAAAGTAATATTTTACCTAATGTTCCCCTTTTGTAGCATTTTGTTTATGTGCATACTTGTTACTATAGACTGGAAACTTCATTATTTGAAGAATACAATCGATTATGAGTTACAAAGCTGTGGAGTTAGATATGCTAACATAATTTGTTATGCTATTGGAAAGACAAGACTTAGTATATGCTATGTTATCACTACAGAAAAAAAATGACAATTGCATATTATTTATTGCTCATCATAGTCTCAAATCTCTCATATAACAATCCAAGAAACTTTTATAAACACCTAACTTAGGTTTTCATAAGTTATTAATATGTTTGCCCTTTCAGCCATGGGAGCATTATAATGTGATGGTCAATCTCACTATTCATTGGTAAAAGAGTAACCCAGGAGTTAGCAGTTGTTTGTGTTGACTAGCTGCCTTCCCTCTAGTTTTTCACTGCTAAATTAGAGACAGCTAGTGCAGATAGCCCTTGTGTAGTTTTGTGCAAAATTCACATCAAACCAACTCTACTTTTTCACATTGCCGTTCCTACATCATTCATATTTTTTCAACATTATTATTATTATTACTGTTGATGCATGAAGAATGTCCATAATGTAAACAATTTACATGAGTCAGTTGGAGATTTTCACAGTTTCAGTATTTTTACTTACCATCTTTATTAAAATTATGTGTAAGAAATCTAATGTCTTGAATAAATTGAGGGGATCAACAAATGATCTTATAATGACTTTATTTCATATTTCATTTCTGATGAAGCCCCTAGTAATGACAAAACAGACCAAACCATCAAACATAAAAAGTTCACCCAAATATGTTTTAAGTTATGAAACACATTTTGTTAGTTGCACATCAATAATCAGGTTTAGCTGAATGGAAACTCCAACAGTGGGCTCAGTGGTTTAAATTATTACTTCAAGAAGCTACTATTTACTATAAACAATCTAAAAAAATAGCACCTATTGCTTTTTCAGAGCTACGTATTATAGATACAGGAAAAAAAAATAATATATTGGCACTAGAAGTTATGATGTCAGAGGTCTTTGGGTGCTATTGATTTAAAGGCACATGGCTAATTTCTGTACAGTGCATTTCTTAGCACCACTGTGCCCCCTGTAGGAACCTCCCATATATTTCATTTATTTAAGTAGTCCCAAGAATGAATTTGTACTTTATTTACATTTTTCAAGTGACTAAAAGCATTGCCATCTTGAAGTTCTTTTGTTTTTATGAGCAAAATAGGAAACTGAATTTTGTGAATTATATCAATGTGTTTACTTGTATTTTACAGTAAGTTCGTTTTACTATATTCTTTTAATAAGTTGGCTTCCTCACTATGGTATTTACATAATAAACTTTTTTTTTGTTAATTTAACTTTAAACTACATGTTTTCAATCTCAGAATTCCAGAGTCTACAAATTAGGAATTCTACTTTGCTTAAACAGTAACAATAGAAGATATCAACTCTCCAGTTCCTCATAGTCTTCATCAGTCATTTCTGATGCCTAATCGTACTTACTTCATTCTGTTTTCTTCTGTTTCATTCAAACATTGTATTAGATAGAAAACAACAACAACTTTGTTTAATAAGAAACCAAAACAGGGAATTTTTGCTACAGTATGACAAATTTTATCAAATGTAAAATATTCACTACACAATGTATATAAGTATTTAAAATACTTAGTGAGAACTGAAAAAACAATGTTAAAAATTCAAATACAGGGCAAATGAATTAAAAATAAGGAAGTTACATAAAATATATATTAACATGGCAGTTCGTTCTTAGTAATGGAAATAACATTAACAATACTATCACCCAGCCAAAGTTGGTGTTGACTCTTACCTAACAACAACTACTTAAAAATTTACTTTTACATGTGAAACACAGACACCTGCAATGTTCAGATGTTTGGACATGACCATCACAGGTGCCTGTGTATAACTTCAATAAGAACTCTCTCACCAGCAACAAATAACAAAGTCCCCATAAAATTTGATTATTAAAACTCTACAAAAATAGGTCCTATTTTCAACTTGATTTATCACACTAGTGGTCAAAGATTTCCCTAACTCTATGCTATAATGTATTTGTCCAGAAATCTGTAATAAATAGTTGCTAACTATTCCACTAAAGTACTCCAAAACAGTCAAGGCTCATGAAACACATTCTCTTAAAACTTTACAAAGTTAACATGACTTTCTTTTTAATAACTGTTTGAAATTTTGAGAAAAAAATACTCTGTAGTAATTTGCATTGTTAGAAAGTGACTTACTAGCAAGTGCTAGTGGATTACTCCTTTAACTCAGTTAGTGGAGCATTTGCCTGGCATGTGACAGGTATGGGATTCATATTTGAGCTGTGAAATATATTTATCAGGATATAATAAAATTACCATATTGGTGCCCAACTAGTGGTTGTCCCAAGACCTTGAAATTAGGCCTGAAAATGGTCTTTGTTTGTAAGAGTGTAGTAGTTTATGCTGTTAAGTTGTGACTTACTATCAAGTACTAGCGGATTAACCATTTAATCAGTTCATGGAGCACTTGCCTGGTGTGTGATAGGTTTTGAATTCAAATCCAAAGCAAGGTGGTATTTCTATAAAAATATAACTACTATAACTGCTCCTAACATTAGTGCAAAGTAGACATTTTTTTCTTGTGAGGCGGTGGTTCTTCTCTTTCTAGATTATTATAGATAATTTGTGAATCTTTATTATTATCTCATCTTAAACAAGATAAAGAAAAATTTAATCAAGCAACTCTAGAAAGCTTTTACAATGTGTTCATGTGCCCTAGAAACATTTCTCTTTTTCAAAACCATTTTTCTCTCTCTCAAATTTAATGAGAAAGGCTGAATACAGCATTCACCAAATAACATTACTGAGGAACTGAATACAAGAGCACAGCATGTTATTTTGACAAGTACTGAAATGAAGAAAAAAAACTGAGATCCCCTGAGGACTTTTAAACAACATTCAATATTAATTTTTAAGCAGATATGGTGTTTTATCAGATGTGCCCTTATAGGTGGCTAGAATGTCTTGAAACTTCTGACCAAATCCGCAGGGCTCACAAATATCTGATAATAATGAAGATGAGATTTAAATGTAAATCTCCAAAACTCAAATTAAACTTTATAAAACAATTTACAAACAACATCAATAATGAATGTGTGCATCATAAATAAGTGAGCTGAAAGTGTTTTCTAAGATCTACCAGTCACCCCCGATGAAAAACTAAGATGGCAGTAACTTGCTCTACTGGAACAACAGGAGGAAACACAAATCCCTGCCATTGTAGTGAGGAGTTTGTACATGTTTGGCTGAGTTCATAATGTTGCTTCACAGTTTCACTTAAAACAGTACAGAGAAGAAAAAGCATCTGATAAAAATTTTCTCTTCATAAAATCTTTCATTTCATCAACAGAAGCTCTCCATTCAACTTCAAATCATATCATCCTCACGATTATCTTCAGAGTTCTCTTGCACATTTAGCAATAGTTTATTTTTCTTTACACAACAATAACAAATTTTATTGAATTCTGCTGTACACACAACAGTAGGAGTTCAAATGTTTGGGAATGCTGGAGCAGTCTTAACAATCTCTTGTGAGGTGTAATGGTTATATTGACAGGTCTGACTCACTCTGGTAGCACGCAGTTAGTTGAATGTCTGTAGCAGTGCTGTTCCTTTTAACTGGCCTCTGATATAAGAAAAGTTCAGGATTTAAATATCCACTAGATAGGCCATAGCAGCTGTTTAAAAGAAAATAAAAAATTATGGTCAAATATCAATTGGGAACAGCTCTTTGTGTAATGCAGGAAACACTTGGTGAGGATATGTCTGTCGAAACTTTGCTAGAGCATCCATATGAAGAATATTCATTTCTCTGAGACTTGGAGTCTTGGCCAAAAGAAAGTCCAATATACTGATATCTCCTTTATAAGGTAGCTTATGGGTATGCTCCAGTTCAAAACGAAGCGACTTTAAGATGGCCTGATTCAGACGTTGAATGTCCAGCACTTCTTTAAGCCCAACACGATCTATAGGTACAAATAAAAGTTATTTATTGCTAGATGAACTAATCACAATGAAGAAATTACTATGTTTAAAAAAACTGTTAATAACAAATCATTGAAAATTTTACTTTCCATTTATTAGGTTTTATTTGTCAAATGGGAAATCCAAGACAGAAAGGATATAATTAAGACAAATATCCATATGATCTCCAGTAGGAAAATATTAATTTAAACACTAAAGATGTGAATAAATTATAAATACCTGCTAAACTGAAATATGAAAACTTAATTTTTATTTGGATCTATAGTTTTCTGTTTGGATTTAACTCTGTTTATTGTTTTAGTGTGAAACATTTTCGACATTATTTGTTTTCTCTGTGTGTGCGTGTCATTATGTTTAAACTTATATATTTGCAAAAATATAATTCAATAGAAACTGCACAGAAATTATTGACTCTACAAGTATAAGATAATAACATAGGTATGCATCATTGTAAGCTACAGTTCTCATGTTCTAGTTTAGAAGATAGCCAGAGGGAGTGTGGATCTTAAGATGTCAAGATCAAACAGTATAAGAATATAGGCCTATAACACTTATAAAATTCTAAGGATGTAATGTAAAAGTAGATTACAAATACAAAGTTCTATGAAGCATAGATAGTATTTAGTTAAAAGAATTTATGTTTTTTTTTCAAGTAGATAGTAGAGTGAATCATTCAGTGTGTTAGCTATCGTGGTTACTTTGTGCAAGTAAGTTGATTTGATTTTATGTTAGTCCTAGTATCATTAGACAGGTTTGAACGTCATTTGTAATGTGGCCTACAACAATTTGTGACAGTTTACAAGTGTTTAAACTTGTAGCAACATTAAAAGTGGAAATAAACTAATTGTGATTGTTACTTGGACTGGACACCAGATAATTTAAAAGATTGTGTGAACTACCTAATATTGTTCAGGAAATATTACCATAATACATTTGAGGTACATAAGTACAGAATAAGTTTAAATGATACAATTTCTATGACTTACCTGGGGAGAGCAGCACATATGCGGAAAACAAAGCTAGTTCTGTGTCTGTCAATTTAAGCTCTGCTATACTCTTCGCAAAATCAAAACTACTGCTGACAAGTTTCATTTCTATTGTGTCTGAAATGGAGAAATATATACATTTTTACATCTGTTTTTTTCCACCCAAGAATAATATATATTCATGTTGACTATTTCAATCAATAAGCAGGATTAAAGTTTAGCTATAACAACAAAACAACTAAAAATAATATACATATTCCTAAATGGTTCAATTTTACTGAAACAAAACAACTGGTAACATTAAAAGGTGAAACTCTGATACACATCTCCAGACCACTTTAAAATCCTAGAAAGGACTTGCTGAAAAATTGCATGCATAAATACCTCAAATGTATTTGTTATGTTCTTAATAAGGAATATATACAGACATTATTTAATTGTAAGTTATACTTTTGATACTAAAAATCATAGCCAAATACACATTACTGTTTTGTAACCTTTGTAAATGAAATATTGATTAATATCAACTTTCAGTACATTCTGTTTACTCACCAGATGTCATGAATGCTTCAACAGGTAAAAGACTCTCTCCATACAAAACAGAGCCTGTATTTAAGTCAAAGTATCGACTCATGCGTAACAAAACCAGTTCAAAACTTCCTATGACACAAGAAAAAAGCGTGTTATTTCAGTGTTAATTATTAAAATGAGTTTATAATATCTATTTGATAATTTAAGTCTTACATGTAATCCAGTGAAGTTGTTCTTAAGCAATTATTAAAGGTATTCTCTTACCAGCTTTTAATAACACAATCTGGTCCTCTTGTGATAGTTTCATAAAACCTGGAACCATCTTGGCAAACTCTATGATTTGTTGAACAACTGCTGTTAATCTCTGAGCACAGTCCAACCAAAGTTCATCTTGTGCCTGAAGAATTCAAAATTATACTTGGCCTTTACTGTCCTATCTAAAAACAGTTCTAATGAGATAGTCTTATTAAGATCTGTAGAAGTTGAAAATTAACTGTCTAAAGGATATAGTGATAAATTTGAAATGCAGTAACCAGTTGTCCAGCAGTTCAAAGGTTACCATTCATGAATACATTACATGTAAATATATTTAAAATTATTAAAGTGATTGTTTTATCTGTTCCAATGAGAAAATCCTTAACATTATCAAATATGTAAGAATGGAATATAAAAACTTTTTATTATTTATTCATTAACCATAAGATAATTACAGGCATGCCAAGTATTCACCTAATTACACATAAATCATGGAGTGATTAATGATAACTACCAGTAGGAAGAGAAATAGAGATGCCAACTTCTTGAACTTCAGGAACCTCCAATCAGAAAATAATGCACAAAGGCCAACTTTAATAACTTTTTCTAAGATACATTTTGCAAAAAAAAAAAAACTTTTTATTTTAAGAGGTATATAATCTAAACTATTCATATTTTTATCCAAACATTGCACTAAATGTAGACACACTACAGATACCCAGAAAGTGGTAGACCATCTTAACACTAAATTATCTTCAATAGCTGAATAATAAAAAAATGGAAAGGTTTTAATTTGTTATTGCACTCTTTAAGAATGTATTTAAACTTGAAAGTAACACTAAAAAAGTGTCAATTGTCAGTGTAAAGTCACAATTATATAAAGAATGGTTTTACACCTTTATTAATAATTCATTCTAATTTGTGATGGGCAGTGTGGCTAATTGGCTTTGTGCTTTGGACTCGTAGTTGAATGGATGGAACCATTTGAGGCTGGCCCATATTATGCTGTTGTGTCCTTGAGTAAGACACTTTACCCCACTTGTTCCAGTCTACCCAGCTATCAGCTAGGGGTTAATCTGCAATAGAGTAGCATCACGTCAGTGGAGAGTGGATCTCCATTCTCATTCCTTTTGCTACTTGAAACTGGAGTTCGAAAGCACCAGATCTATGTGCCTTGCAAAGACATTGAACTTAATTAATTTGTAGAGACTATCAAAGATATAAATAAATTAATACTTAGTTATGAACCAATTTCAAATCACACATCTCTTTTAAACCATCATTCCTTTAAAGCAGATGCAAGACAGTACATGCATCATGAGAAAATGATTTACATACATTCTTCTGTAGCTTTTTGGGAGAAAACCATATAATTTCTGTGCACTTGCTTTTGCTTGAAAATGGTTTGGAAAAAACTAGAATTATACATAAAAGCCTAAAAAAAAGGAGGTCTACAAATGTCCAACTTTATGAAGGAAATTGTGCAGAAGGTATAAAGGCAGATAAAACACAGATGTAAACTGATAAAGGAAAATAGATACTATACAACACTTTTAATTACAATATCTTTAAGCTAGAAAACTACCCACTTGAGCATAGAAAGGAACACTATTTTTACCTTACCATAAATTTGGTTACATTAAAATTGACACACCTAAACCAAAACATGGTAAAAAAGCTATACAACACACTTACCTGTCATATTATCATATTCACTAACAAAAATGCAATTACTTATGAAGTGTATAAAAGCTAAGTGTAATAATGAACATTATAAACGTACGTATTAATGTTTTTAGGTCTATTAAATTGTAACTTGGTAAGAAATCCAAATTTCTGTCTGATATATAATAATATTAGCAATATAACTAGGCATTTTTCAAAAACATGTAAAAATAAATTTTTCTAAGAACTATTTTTTTGGTCACTATATTTTGTCCTAAAAGGATGTATGCATATTTTTCTTATCTATTATAAAACTTTCAGTTTCTTTCATTTAACTGACAACCATTCTTAGATGAATAATGTGATTTTTTTAAACATGATATCTTGGTTTACTACTTTCATGAGTGAAAAATAAACATACACTGGGTTTTATTATATTTCATAGTTAAAACAAGTCTCCACACCTCAAAGGCCACTGCAATCTGAATGGAAAGACAAATGACTACGTGTGGAATTCAAATGTTCTGTTTGGGCCACTACAATGCCAATTAATACTAAGCAAACATTCTCAAGTAACTTAAAAGTTTGTCTTAAGCAAGCCTGTAGTCAGGAGTTTTGGTTACAACCCAATATTCTGAAAGACTATAGTTCTGAAGGGCCAATATTCCAAAAACTGAAAGTAAAAGCAATTATACATGTAGGCCTAATGTTTATTCAGGTTGTTATATTACATAAACAACAGTAAATGTATAATGTTATATATTAGGGACACAGGCCGATAAAATTTTGGAGTATATTTGTAAATATTTCAGAGACCAATATTATTTTGACCTGTAATTAAAGCTTTATAATCTTTGAAAAATTATGTCAAAATTTTAATAATATTAATATCATTATTATTATAAAAAAGGATGTTCAATAACAATAAGAAGAATAAAGCAAACTCCAGTACTAGTAGTGAAAATTTTTTGGAATAATGTTCCTTTGGAATACTGGTCTGTCCCCAGATTTTTTCCCTGTGAAACTCAAACTTGATGACAGGTGGAGAAAGATGTCCTATTGTTTTAGGGACTATCATAATGTAGCTCAGTATTAACTTTTCTAAATGGTAATTGTTTCACACAAATACATAACTAAAAACAACTGCTGCCAATAAAGGGTTAAGTCTAATTATTAGGTAAATCTTTTGTAATTTTGTTCATTATCCATGGTTGGCAGGCCTAGTAGAAAGCTAATGGTAATTTTGCAGGCATCTAAATCACTTGCACCTACTCACTTGGTTGAAAAGAAAAAGCCTATACAAGATTCATATTTTTATGTATTAGCCTAATAATATTAGGAATGGTAGATTAATTAGCTAATGCACTAATGTAATAAACAACTTACCATATTTTTATAATACAAAAGAAGTGAGACATCTTGTGGTTTTCTCATAAGGTCTATAATCTGGTTGGTTGTATACAAACATGTACGGTTGTGTGCATTAGCAACAGTCTTGGCTAATAACTCTGTAACAGAAGGAGGAAAATGTGTATGCTGATTTACTGATATTGAAAGTCATATTCTTTTTAAAACTTCTTCTCCCTGACATTCCAGATTTTCTAGACCTGCATATGCACTCATACAAGATACTGGTATTTCAACTTTTTTCTCATAATACTACAGAAAAAAAAGTTCCAATGAGAACATTGTAGCTTCATAGTAGGCAATAATAAAATATTGCATTCTTCATTAAAATAGAATACTTAGCATGGTTTATGAGCGTATACAGGTTCCAAGATTAATAGGAGCGTAAAAGTTTCTCTAACTTTTCCAGGTTTTTCTACATTCATGATCTCTATGTCAAAGTACTTAATCCCTCCTTTATTTTAGCATCTTTCACATACTAAGATCTGATGAACATGTTATGAGCAAAAATTCAGAAATATCTGTGATTTTTAAACATTAACTACAAAAGCTATTTAACGATGAATACAATTTATTATGATGATTATTCAAACTGTAATTCTCAGTTAAAGAAATCATGAACCACAAATAAATTTGAAAAAACATTTCTCACAATATTATATCAAAGAATAGTATAAAATATAAAAAGTGCAGCTCTCTTATTTCACCTTAGGTCAGCAGTTCCAAAACTGTGAGTTGCAACTCACTGATCAAGCTGAAAGAGGTATTGAGATGAGTCACACAAGAAGACACGGTAAAATATGAAACAAATTTTGTTTTTTGTTTATTTTGAAAACTGTTCATAAGAGCACTACTAGACTACTGAAATACATTAAATATTAAACACCATCTTCCAAGTAGTGCATGGATCCCAGAAAATTGTTTAGTTACTCAAGTGCATTATGAGCTGGGAGCCCCTGATTTATCCAAGAATACTACAAAACAACATATAAAAGAACATTTTCTTGTTTCACACAGACTTAGGAAACACTTAGTGCACCTAAAGTAGTTTGCAAAATTATTATTTAGTAGCAAATGTTTTAGTCAGTCTCAATTATTTCCCTGTTTTGTTCAGTAGTCTCTAGGTATGTTCTCTCTAATTTCCTTGTACTGTAATCTTTTTTTTTTCTTTTTCAGTCACAAAAGATAAAACATAATATTACATTCAATTACAACTTACCTAAATGGGAATTGTTTGATATTGTGGTTGCTGGGACTGTGGTTGTAAGAAGACCATTGGTATCTGGTATAGGGTTGTCCAAATGCTGCAACTGGTCAAATGTTGTACTGTCTACAAAATCTGTTCCAGCCAAGTCAAATGTCATGGCTTGTGGAGTGTAAGTATAACCATTGGGTGTGTACGTGTTGAGGTCTCCATTGTAAGCATAGCTAGGGAGATCCAAGAATCACACAAGTTGTCATTTAGGTAATTATAATGCTTGTAATCATATACCTTAAAATATTTATTTTTAAATTCTAATGATACAACCATGAGACAGAAAGTATCTAAGTGTCATTCACTTCTGTAATTATCAATTCACTTTCTGTGTATATAAACATACTAGTGAAATGGTTACATTTTAAAATTTATATATTAGGATACATATGGATAATCACAAAACATTTTTCCTTCTTTCCTTACATGTAAGGTCAAATCAGTATCTGTTAAACTGCATTTCAGCAATGAGAAGTCAGACAGAAACCAGTAATTACATAAAAGAGTTGATATAAGTATTTTGTTACTGTACCCTCCATTGATGTAGGTTAAATGTTGGTTGGATGAGGACGGCTGTTGCTGGTCAAAGACAGAACTATCTGGTGAGGACTCTGTGGTTTGTGGTGGTGCTGGGTGTTGTTGTAAGGATGGTTGCCCTTGTTGTTGAGACTGAGGACGGACTAGTTGGGCTCTGTGAAATCTAACTTCATCTTCTACTTTTTCCCTTTGTTTCTTGGACATTCTTCCAAACTTAACAGCTTAAAATAATGTTAGCATGAATTTTTAAACAAAACTTGCAACAAATCATTTAATAATAAAAGATAATGAACCACTTATTATGTCAAAATACACTACTTATTATTTATTTTAAAAACTTTAATAAGATGCATGGCAATTTTGCACTGGCAAGCTTGTTCATAAAGATGTATTCAAAGATAACTTATTACTTTCCACTTACAAGACAATAAAACTTCATTAAGAAGAAATGAATTAGTTAACTTAAATATTATATTTTTACAAAAACATTAATGTATACAACACTACATATACTTTATCATATAAAAGTACACAGGTTGTATGAAGAGTTAAAAGTTTTCAAAATTAAGTTGTTGTTTTTTTACTAAGATATGACAGACAAAAATACTTTCAAAATATTTTAGTTTAGAAAACTGAAGGAATATGAATTAATTCTAGTGAATTAATAGCAGCTATGACTGATTAATATATACTGCTGTAACAAATGTGTACAATTATAAAGAGTACATATCTGTTTGGATTAACCATCTAATAGTCATTGCAATATCAATAGTTGTACACAGAAATTGAAAATTTAAATATAAAAGTTTTTATTCTTACAGCACCATGAAACCTTCAAGTTTCATATTTATTAATATTATCTTCTGATCAGAAAAGCTACGTAATTTAGAGTGATACTAAAAATGAATATTGTTTAGCAAATTAAATACATTTTTCTTATGATTTGTATGCTATCAAAGGTGTGAAACAAACACCAAACACTAAAATTAATACGATTGTTTCTTCCTGTCTAAAAATCTTTAGTCACAATTAATCACTGTTGTGATTTGCAGTGAAAATTACTATTTTAATTTTTTTTTTAATTATGGTACCTTTGATCAGAAATAAACACACATATATATGGTGGCCCAGTTGGCAACCATAAAGAACGAACACGATCGACCACATGGACTCCAACTCGCGTCCGCCCTAACCACTAGGCCATGCCTGGGCCATATTATAAGGTAACCTATAATAAAATTGATAAAGATGGCTCAAAACCCTTTTAACTACAGTACAACATTCATATCATTACAATACAGATGAATGTTTATAATTACAGTCTCTTACCATCCCTTGACATTCCTAGAGCTAAACATTTTTGTAGTCTACAGTACTGGCATCTATTTCGATTAACCCTGTCTACAACGCAGTTCTTTTGCCTAGGACATTGGTAATTCACCACACTTGACTGACTCCTTCTAAAGAAACCCTAGGGATCCGAAATAAAAAGAGTTTTTAATTTCTAAAAAGGTATTTAAGTTCAAAACTATTTCGAAAGCAAAAGAAAATCTTCAAAATAGTGCTTCTTTATTCTATTAGCTAACTATTATCATTTTTATATAAAATGCTCCTATATTTCAATATTTCAGCTTTTATACAATAGTAGTTTATTTGTATAATTTCTTTATGAATACTATTTATGTAAAGTATTTTTTAAATAAATTTGTTAGGTTTTAAGTATAAACATATTCCTAAAGATGGCGCTGCTGCATTACAACACTGTATGTGTGTGTGTGTGTGTGTGTATATTATTCCATATCGAACTGACTCAATACAGAAAGATAAGCTTTTCATCTACGCGTTCATTACAAATAATAATAAACAAAACACACACATTTAGAAGATTGCTATAATTTTAGAATACACCAAAATCATGTCACACTGTTCCATTAATTCAGTATAAAATTTCTATAAGATGGCAAAAGAACGTTTTTTCTTATTGAAATGTGTCACTTAGATAGTTTGTTTTTTTATTAACTGGATTATAACACTAGGCTTCACAAAAGTAAATATATTTTTGTTCCTTGTTTGGTAACCATTTTCAACCTTAAAAGCATTTGACGTACCTTTGTGATATTTTTTAACAATAATAAGTTAAGTATATTGTTACCTTGCAGCCTTCACATGTTATCACACCATAATGGACCCCAGAAGACTTGTCTCCGCAGACTTTACATGGTATAATCTCAATCTGAGCTGCAAAGAAAGGACAATTTAAATATACTACTAAGACATATTTTGCACATTTCACGAAACATGTGGTGTACCGTGAATAATTACAATAAATAGCACCTTTTCTTTATTAAGTAAAATAGTCTAACTAAATTTTTGGATCGTTATTGCAACACTGGAATCGTCTGTGTTAGTTTCAATAAACTTGCGTAGTAAGATGAATGTAAACTGTGGTTTGGACTATATTTATTACTAGAGTTAAAATTTAATTAATGAACAGTGGTAATCGTTTGTTTTGTTGCGGCATTATGTCACAATTATTGACAAAATACATTTTGTGCAACAATTGACAACTTTTTTGTTGTTGCTTGTTATTAAGAACAAAACTACACAAAAAGCTATCTAACGCGGTTTCTAGCAGTACAAGTCCTCAGACATGCCGCTGTGCCACTGGGGGCCAATTAACAACTTGATAAAATAGTAAATTTCTGTTGAAAAGTCAAGTTAAATTTCTAAACCTAAGTACCATAAAATGTTGTATTTAAAACTCAAAATAAATACTTTTAAGTTAATATGTAAATAAAGTCGATTTGTAAGTCTTTAAACGAAGATATAACAGCGGAAGTGTGATTATATATATATATATATTTAATAATACTTACATGATCTAATTGCACTATTGCAACTGTCCTATTTTTAAGTAATAATGTTTAGGAAAGTTGGTGCATCAAAATGTTATATAAATATATACTTGGATTTCGTAAACACAAATATATTCCTTTGAGAAGATTTAAACTCCCATTTAGAAAATATGTGTATGTATTAATTGTTAACTACGTAACACAACAAAAACGTACTTATTTACAAAAGAATGTTAATTAATAAGTAACTCAGTTTTCACAGTGTCACTGATAACAGCTTATAATTTTACCGTTTCTATAAACACTCTCAAATAGAAAACTACAATACGTAATGCATCTCGAAAAGTACAACTTCGGTGCAATGTGAAGTTATTCAGCTCAATACTTTTTTTTTGAGTAGCGTAAATGAACTGTATAAACATTCCACACAGTTGATAGTGAAAGTGCCTTTGATATTTTTTAAGTTATCAATCGTAATATAAGCGAAAAATAGAGAAAATAGACTGTCATGATGTAGCCAAAGATCCAGCCCGGTGCTTACCTGATTAAAATACCGGTTTTTAAATAGGTCACCCACGCTGTAGTTCTATGTTTTAGTATAAGTAGTTGTAGCTGACTTTAAAAGTAGGTCGTTATCATATCTTTGATACCTTGTTTTTCCGTGAGCGTTTTTCTAATGATTAGCTCACACTAGATGGACTCGGGTATTATCAACAGTAGAGGTAAGCGAGTTCCTTTAGAGTTGTTTACTTCCCAGAGTCCAAGGTTGCCAAATTTATGGACGGTCAGTAAAAAAATAAAACACATTTCAACACTTCTCGCAAACCCGTGAGTAGCAAAAATGTTTTTTATGATGTCAGTGCAAATGTATAGCGTCAGTAAAAAAGGCCCTGTTCAACTGTACGTCAATAAAAAATAAACTGTTAAGGTTGGCAACCCTTCTACACACACACACACACAAGATTGCTTTCAGTGTTATCTATTCTCTGTTGTTGTTTATGATACTATAGAGATATCCGACCACAACAATGTGAGATCAACACTAAAATAAGATCAAAGAAATCTCCCGATTCCAACTGATCTGAAACTGATACTGAAATTTAAGCATATATTATCTAAATAAACGACCCCCATTTTCAAGTATCACATACTTATCACCTAGTCTAAACTTATGTGAAATGTCACACCAAACAACTAAATTCACGCATACAATTAGTTTTCTATCTATTTTGAAGAGGGCAAGTACTATCAGCCATGTTTGCCTATTTGATTTCGAATTTTCTCACAAGGCTATCGAACTTGAAAATGTCAGGCTAGAAGGAATGCAGCTAGTCAATGGCACCCACCACCAACTCTTGGGCTATTCCAAAAGTGGTGTATGACCGTTACTCTTACAACGCACCCACGGCCCGAAATGCGAAACAGGTTTCTTTGCAACTACAACGTGAAGCGAACGCAAACCCTCAGTTTCACTGTGCGGGCACGCTATCCAGTAGGGCACACTCTGCCCACGTATAAACAAACACAATATGTACTTTCAATGTTAAAGTGTGGTACCACACGGAACGTAACATTGCATTAGTTTAGTTTTCAACGTAACACATGCTACGGATGTGATCTATAAGTTATTTGTTTCTGATTATTATATAAGATATGAACTTAAAAGAAATTGGAATTTATTACATCGAAAACATATTAATTTATTCATTCGAATACTTACAATATCACTTTATAACGACTTTTTCTTTTTACCTTGATGCATTTTCATTGATCGGTAACAATCTATCACTAGACTCTCCTACTTTTGTACCATGCCGTAATCATGCGCAGTAAAACATTTATTGTGGAAATGTAAAACTTTTGTTGTAATGTTTCATTTCTACCAATAATAAAAGTAATCATATTAAATTTTCAAAAAACAGTACAAAAAACACACATTTTATATCGTTTACTTTGAATTATATAAGTAGAATAAGTTATCGTAAAAAGAGATATCTGGTAATATTTACACTTCAATCTCACGTTTAGAAAAGTTGTAATACTAATTTTTTACTCTGGTGACATCGAGAGTAGGAAGCACATATAATGATAAAAATGAAAAAATAGTGGTCTCTTCCCTCCCCCACTAATTCACTAATGTAAATTTGCTTCCAGCGCCTCTCAGACTACCTTTATATGAAAATTAATGGACCAGATTTGCAACAGCGTTTTTGCCGTGTGCATGTGCACCTACCATAGTCCCTATATATTACCTTGAACAGGCTTATATGCAATATGGCAGTTGGATCTGAAGATATCTTTATCAAGAGCAGATGAAAGATGTTTGTGATAAATGCATGTAAACTCTTTCACTGTATCTTTGTTTGAATAAAAATAAATAAAATTAGGTCAAGGACATTTATCAGGTCAAATGAGCATAGCAAAAGTAAGCGCAACGTGAGTGTTTGTTCCGTTAACTAGATGCTGGTTTTTTGGGTTTTTTTTTGGTGGGGACAAGCAGATATCTACACATCAGAACAAGAACGAAGGATGTTCGGATGCTAAACAGTGAGGTTAAAAACCCTTTCAGATTTATTGTATTACGATGTATCGTGTATAAAGGTGTAGCTGAGTGACATCGAGAGTAGGAAGCACATATAATGATTAAAATGATAAATCAATGGAGTTGTAGTTATAGTAACAATAGGGATGAAGACATGGCTCAGCTCAACATTTTAACCACTTTCTGAATACTATACTTTGGATTACTCACCAACTCATCATTAGGATCATTCAATAACTCCCACGTTTGATTGAGACAGGTTTATAGCTGTTTGTAGCCTGTCCTATGTTTGATAGCAGGAAGATAAAGTATTTGCAGTTGCAGTCGTAAACACAGTGATCTATGAGACACGTGTATTATAAAAATTATTAATTAATGATTAGGCTTAGATGACCTTATAAGACTACTAACCATGACAACGACTGATATCCGATCGCTACAACTTTACTGTAGTACAAATAAGGTTTTGTGTGTTTTAGCATTTTGCGTCAAAAGCACGCCGCTCAAACCAGGGTAGAACAGTCTGGGTGTATATTTGGAGTTAAGTCAGTAACTTGGTTTCCTGGGCTTTTTTTCTTAACGTAACATATGAAATCAACCTCGAAGTAATGACTTTTTTGTTCCAAAATTTTCGCGCAAAGCTACACAAAGGACTAATTTGCACTTAGCAGTTTCTATTTCTAAACCGACAGACTAGACTCAGAGATAGGAAGCTATTCAACAGCACCCACCGTCAACTCTATAGCTACTTTTCTCTGATCGAACAATGGAATTTGGCCGTCACTCTTATAGTGCACTCACGGCCTCAAAGTGCTAAGCACGTTATTGCGGCAACGGGTCGCAAACCTTGAATCATGGGATTCACAGTTCGAACACACTTACCATTAAGCTACATATGGTCCTATTATCTCGGCAGATAAGCCTAAAACTCCTAGACTAAGAATTCAGTTAGATGAGGGACTATCCTAAAATGTTTCTAGATGCTACTTGCAAAGATTGATAACAGCTACAAATAAAGTGCCAAATGCTAATAACCAACTTCTCAATGTGCTGACTATCCCCAGGAGATGTGTTACAAGAAGAGCTGCACACATATTTTGTGAAATGTTTGTAACTGATTCAGGGCATGTTTAATCTCATTTCAAAACTGTGTTTAAAACTTTCTATTCGAAATGTAAATAATAATATTGTGAGAAATAAACATTAACGTTTAATGACAAGACCTGAAATTTCTGTTTTTAATGGTTTCTAATATGTTTAGATTCCCAGGAGGCTTTCATTGTATATGGTTAATAAATACAATACGAGCAAACGATGAGAAGCTGATACGTATATATGTTCTTCGAGGTCTGTAATATATTCGATAATGGTTGCAACGACGTCACGGAGTCCTAGTGTAAAAATACATAGCAAGCGGGGTCAAAAAACTCTGGCTGAACACTGTGACGTAACATCTAAAAAAAAACCAGTAAGGAAAAGACACGCTACTACCACGTTATTTATAGACAACAAACAGTCAAGCCCCGTTCAGCACTTCCGCATCTATGATTACGTCCGAGAACTGAGGATAAAATATGTAAAACGAGGACGATGATTTTAAAGTCACTCCCTCTAACGGAAGTAACTATTATTGAAATACCTAGAGGTGAAATAAAGTTGAAATCACTATTGTTTAATTACAATAACTCTGTTTTTTTCCTAGGTAGTTACAGAAGTACAATGCGCATCAACCAACCGGTGTATTAGTATGTTAAACGTATGGTTAAACCACAAATTATCCACCTACTATCAGATGCTCTAAACTCGGGCACTGGTGTTCCGATCCCATGTGATTTCACTTC